TCCCCGGTGCCAGTTGCCCCCCCCTGCAAACTTCACCGGACTGAGGAAGAAGATATGACATACTTTGATTAGGCTCAAAGGCTGTTATGTGCGCCACACGGCTACAGTCGTGAAAAAGTACACCAAAGCACACCATCGTACCAGGACTTAGCAACTTGTTTATTTATTTAAATACAACCTGAGAATAAACAACATGACACAACAACGTTGCTTCAGTTCAGTAAGACTTCCAGACTTTGACCGGGTCATTAAACCACATTTAGTTTTCTTTTTGAGACGTTTGGATGTAGGGTCCCTGATGTGTCCTATGAAAGGACCCATTTAGGCCAAGCTCTAGCTGTCAGAGAGAAAGCTGCATATTTGGCTCAAGGAGACTTTGGTACACAGGAGTTCCATAGTTGCTGCAAAACGAGCCCAAATCATTATCCCTCTACCACCATGCTCGGCCGGTGAGTTATGGCGTTGTTGCCAGACGTCTTCATTTTGGAACATTGTTCCAGAGGTTTTGTGGCGTGTACAGATACGACTTTGCAACCTAAGCCGTGCTGCCGTGTTCTTCTTTAGAGAAAAGAGCCTTGTCCTTGCAACCTTTGCCTTTTTCTAATTGTACTATTATGAACTTTCCCTGTCGAGTCTGAGATGTGGCTCTGAGGTAGTGCACGGACTGACGTGGCTTTCCTGGGTACAATGACAGTTGTGCTGAACATTTCCTACTTGGGAATAATCTTTCCCACAGTAGAACGATTCACTTGAAATCATTTGGAAATGGTCTTGTGACCCTCTCAAAACTCATGGGCAGCAGCAACTGTTCCTCCTTGGCACTGTGTTAACACACGTTAATGCTCAAGACCAGCAAACTGCCAAAACATCTGCCTTTATGGTGGTGCTCAACTGATGATCAGTCAACTGCATTTGATCAGCAGCATCGGGCTAATCACGGTTTTAATGGAAGCAGTAAGGGAGTACCGTCCACTGATTCTGCATTCTGGCTTCAAATTATTTTGTGTTGTTGTTCATCTGAGGTTGTATATAAATCATTTTAAGGTTGTTTTTTAGTTAATGTTCTTATTCATGAAACCTTAGACATGAAAGGATGCGTACAATTACCCCCAAAACTTCCCTCACCTTCCCTATCCATTTTTTTATTCAATTCATTTAAGCTTTAATGACTTTGAATGCTTTACTGTTAGCCAAGCAACTTTAAGCTATTCACAAGGTCAGCAAGTGAGTCATCAGGATGAAGACTTGTTTTGGGAAATTTTTTAAATGACCAGTGGAATTGAACAGATCTGCAGAGAAAAACAACATGGCGTTACCTCACAGGTGTTCTCGGGCTTCCCGGGAACTTTCGCGGCGAGCGGACCTTTGGCTCA